GTTTTAAAATTAAGCACTGTTTAATGTTGATTTATACTACTTAAAAAGCTGACTAATTTTGAATTATACTACTAGGAATAAAATATTTGATTATTTTTAAAAATTCTTTTCTTATTTTTGGTGTAATAAATTTTTAAATTAATTACATAATATACTACTGAAAGTTTCGTTCAAAATTACATGTTATTAAATTTTGATTTAAACTACTTCAAAAAGGCTGATTAATGTGCACTTGTACTACTAGTGAAAGTAATTCTGCGATTTATTTTTCAGATTATTATTTCTTAATATTTATTTTACGGTATTATATACATAGTGTTTAACAATTTAAAAGTGTAAAAATAACTGGACAATTATTTTATTATTTGGTTAAAAGTTACAATAAATACAATTTTAAAAATTATATATATATTAAAATTCATTGAATTCATTTTGTTTCAAAATAACGATTATACATTTAACTTCGATTTTCTAAATTTATTCAAGTATAAGTTATTTTACGAAAAATACCTTTAATATTAAGTTACTGCAAATTATTTCCACTAACAATCATTAAACGTGGTCTTAATAATTTTCATTTCTAAGCCGCTTAGGATCGCTTACACTGCGCATCCTTTGTGGATAATTTCAACATTATTCGTAGCAGACTTTCTAAAATTAGATATTTATGAAAATAATTTATTAGCTTTTCCTGTATATATTTACTCATGCATTCGCAAATATCCGAATAATTGTATTAGCGCGTATCTGCCTGTAAAGCGAAATTATTTCAGAACGCAATTTCGGAACGCGACGTAATACGGATGTACTTCTAACCATGGATTAATATGGTAGAAGAGGCACGTACCGCATAATACAAGAGAGCGTAAATTAGAACAGCCATCGAGCTGCCGGTGAATTTCGTCGTGTGGCACGGCTCGGTATTAATTAAAGCATAACGTTAAACAACCCAACGTAAACAGCGGAATGTTACATTCAGCATAAAATCGCAACAACTTACAATCGATTTGATTGCTTCGATCACCATTAATTATTTTGGTTTGGCAAATTATTATATTAAAAATATTTTTTTCAAAGAAAAAATTATTGAGCCACAGCTAACAATTGTATAAAGACAAATTGAATAGCCGCAGTAATTATCTGTTATGAAAATGTGAAGAATATTACATTTGTACATGTAATTATTTTTATATATTTATTAAGCAAAAACTTTCAAAATATTATATACTTTTTATATATAATATATTAACATTTGAAAAGTTATTATTAATTAAAAAAGCACACATCCAATAGAATTGTAATTGTTATGCAAAGTAAAGTCTTCCTTATTAAATGTCTCTATTATTAATTAGTTTAACCAATTCAACAGAAATTCTCTCCGTAAATTATCTAATTTGAATTTTAAAAATGGTTTGAGTTTATTTAACTTCTCATTAAAATATCTGTTGAATTATTTGGCATTTCTACTGCGGGGACCAATTTTTCGCTAAAAGAAGCAAACGATAATTTCGCGGAAGATCATTCTATGTATATTATATACGTATTATTTTGTATGTAAATGTGTGCGTGTGTGCGTGTATGTTCTGAGGTAGAATTAAATAAAATATTATCCAGGGAAAAAATTAAGCACGTGTCGGCTGATGTTAAAGCACAGCGAGAGATAAGCAGCGCAATCCGCGAGGTAAAAAAGTAGGAGTTACATATCCGCAGCATACAATACTGTTGCGAATCTGCCAGATAATCCCGATGGAAAAAAAACGCCACGCAGCCCATTTGCATTCAAAGCTGGATTATTCTGGCAGAGAAACAGAACACACACATAGCAATTAAAAGCCTCTCTGACTTCTCGTCGTAACAATATTATGATAATATATCAAAAAGTAAAATTAGTATAACCAGTGACTTTCACATACTCAAAACCATTTTATTAAATGCACAAATTAGGCAGAACTTTTAGCTAATGAGCTATATACCGAAATTTTTTGCAAAGTTATAGTTTACAAAAATTAATTATAAATTACTATCTGTAACTACTACACTCTTTTTATTTCTTTATAATATTTATAATATTTATTCTTTTCTTTTGCACACATTTTTTTTTAAATTATAGCATTTAAAATAACAGATCAAATGTTGAAAAGTGATCGACAGTTCAGAAAATGTTTGTAAAAAATTTTTATCTGATTTGATAATCATTTATAAATTCTAACTTAATTCTCTTTATATTTTTGGGAAAAAGGAACCGCGAAACATAGCGAGAATGTGTCTGGTCAGGTTTTTAAGCTAATTGAATGGAATTGCGCGAAGCAGTAATGACCCAAACACTGGCTGGACAAAAGCCCAGTGCAATAATTCATTTTACGTATTGGCTCGTGCTAATTGTAGTCCCGAGTTTCTCGCGCGCTGCGGGTTAATTACCGCATTCGGATACGCCGCAATGCTCGCAATATCTTTACTGTCGTATGCCGCGCGACATATCACAAGTATCCCACAAAATACTTGCATCTTGAAGTATATACAAATAATCACTAAGTAAATTTCAGACATCTTTCCATATTAATATGTGAATATCAGATATATCGTTGCAATTATAAAAATTATCTAAATAAATCTTTCCTTCCCAAAAGAAGACAAAAATTTTGTTGACAATTATTTTACATTGAAATAAAAAAATATACTAAAGTTAAAAGTAGGTCAAGGTGCCGATTATGAGATACCATTTACATTTTCTTAATTATTTCCAAAATATATGCAATTAGAAAAGTGTCTATATACTGTTTTTAATCGTCATTTCATGTAGTTTTAGAAATTCTACTTCAATAAGTTATATCTCGTTCGAGTTTTAATATACATAGGTTTGATTAAAGTAAGTCAGTTTTTGTATCAAAACCAAAAGGTCTCCTAATATGAGATACTAGCTGATCTTAATATGAGATACCGCCTTTTATTAGATAAACTTAATTTCATTTTTATTAACACCAAAAATAAAAGACATATAGATAAAAGTTAATGGTTTTATTATTACCTGTCTTAATTTGAAACCTTTTACAGTATTATATCTTCAGAACTAGCAATAAAATTTATATAAATATAGCTTTAATTATCTTATTTATTAGACTTATTTCTTAAACTCTTATATCAAAATGTCAAAAATATGAAGGTAGGCACTTATACTTTAAATCAAACGAAAAACTATCCTTAGAATAGAAAAATAAAATAAAAAACAAAACTAAAAAAAATTTTAAATAAATTTTAAAATTAATTTAAAAATTTTAATTAATTAATTAATTAATAATTGATTATAATTAATTTTAAAATTAAAAGAAATTTTTTTAATTTCTTAATTTTTAAAATTTTTCGACGCTTTAAAATACCCCATCTGCTTGGATTGGACAGCATCAATAGCCTTAATCATGGCGCTAAGATTCCAGCTTTTTACTTTTTGATGGCAGTCTAAAGACATAAATTATTCTTAAAATAATCAATTATTTACGTTACAAAAAAATGGTTCCTAATATGAGATATCTCATATTACGAGACCTTCGGTATCTCTTATTAAGGATTTACTATTTGACCGAGATTCAACAAAAAACATTTTGTTTTACTTATAAAACACTATAATATGCACTAGTATCATAAAATATACTACATTAGTAATGAATTTATTAATATTTTACAACATTCAAAACAAATTTTATAAAATTTAACGTTCTTTGAATCTAGTGCGGAAAAATGTGTGATTTTGCTTCCGCGACAAATCAGCGTGTCCTCGTCTGTTCGCTGTCGCTCAATTGGATCTGTTTATCCGACGAAGTAAATGACGCAAACGTCACACATTTCAGATGTACGGTGTCGTTACTAAGACGCTATCTCATATTTAAAACCTATCTCATAATCGGTACCTTTACCCATCTTTTTCATAGATTATTTTTAAAAAAACGTATATCTTATATACAAATTAAATATAACTCATCTGCATGCTTTTTTCCGAACACCAAAGATATCATCCGTCGAATTCGTCGAAAGTTTCATTCCACGTTGTAAGCTACGCCGGCTCGTCACGAAGTTATTCGCGCAAGATTTCAGCTTCCACGCGGAATTTAATCTCATTGAAAAGCTCGCCCGGCGCGAAACGAGCGGACGAAACGCCGGCGACGAGAAATCTGGTCGGGCCACGTGGCGCACCAGAAAGATATCACCAAAAATCACTCCCAGCTTCACGGATTTCTACGCCGGAAATTAAAGATTCAACGAGCCGAGGGTAATTTTGGGGACGGGGAACAAGGATTGCGCTTGGCGGGAGAGGGTTGAAAATGGAAATCGATGCCGAATTCGGTCTGGTAGAAGGTAGGGAATGAAGAAAATGGGGAAGGGATACATTCGACGTCGTTAAATTGTATTCGAGAGAAACTCGAATTCTATAAGAACAACTATCGATAGTGAAGCGGAAAATACGTGTGTTTTTTGCGGACATTATACTTTCGCGGAGAGAATTTATTTGGATCATTGTAAAGCGATCTAGATTTTATAATAGCATGGCTGTTTTTGCTTCTTTTATCTGTATATTTTTTTAAATCAAGATAACTTTTTGTAAACACAAATCTGATCGATTTTGATTAATCTACTTCCACGTATCAATTATTAATACAATTTTGTTGTCAAAATGACGACACTGATAGATACAATTATTGAAAAAATAAAATTGTATTTGGAAGATGTGCTTAATTTGATAACAAATTAATATTACTTCTTCTATTTAGAATCTTTGTTTACTGTAAAACTATTTTGTTACATATTAAATTATATAAAACATATAAATAAGAACTCAGAACAAAACATATCATATACAAATTTATAATCATATACTGGAACATTAGATATTAACCAAGAATATGATTATCATAATAAATATACAAGAGAAATTTTGGATTGATACATATTTAATAAATGCTAGTTGAAAAATTTCTATAAACCCACTGATCGAGATGCTCGATTTTCAGGAGGAGTGCGCGTCAATGATGCAAGATCTCAGTGACAAGATCAACAATAAGCACCATGAAGTGCACACGCATCCGCTGCTCTCGATCTTCAAGATGGCCGAGGTCGAGGTAAAAATGCCGTACACCAACGAGGCGGCGGTCTTCAGGTCATCGTCAGCGCTCCTCGTCGCTGTACTGGCAGTCGGCCTTTTCGGCTCGACATGTCTCTTCGGTTCGTGACAGGGACACCGGGACGCCATAAAAAGTCTATATCGAACGTCTCCCTCGCGAAGGATCGTCACGTGTCGCGCGCACGCGATTACGACGACTCCGACAGCGGAGTCCATCCGGACGAAGGAGGACTCGTGGCCTTGAAGGCCATAGATCAACGAAGAGAAGGATCAGTCACCTTCTCCTCGATCGCCGTGCTGATCTATATATTGTATGGATTGATCCGCACGACGATCTCTGCACGTTTCTTTCTGCCGATCACGAATCGCTCATCGCACGAACCGTTCGAGATATTATTAAATGTATATTAATGTTTAATGGTATTTTTGTTACCGTACCTCGATACGTATAGCCTTCTCGAATCTTCATCCTTAACCCTTTAACTGCCACGACCCGAATGATTCCGAATTTAATGCTGGAACCTGCAGTACTTGTCAATTAATGTGTATTGCAACTTTATATAGGAAATAATTCTCCTTCGAAGATTCAAGGTGTTAAATTTCCAAAGAGAAATGTTCTTATTTTCAGTACATTCGTATTGTTTATTTAATTTTTATTTCATCTTATTTATTTTTCTCATATACAAACTCTCTCTTTTCACTATATAATTATATAAAGAATATTAAGATATATTATGAAAAAACTGCACATGTTTAAAATTGCACTAAAGTTGTCAATATAATTGCAATTTGAGAATTAGGTCTTATTGAGAAAAAAATTGATAATTCACACGAGTACTTTTATAAAATATTCATTGCAAGTTTCAGCATTTTAAAAATACTTCATACGGATACGCTAATGCATAATAACTCCGTCTGGATAAAAAAATACTCTAGTGGATATAAACCTGTACAAAAGGTAGTGCTATTACGGTGCTCGAAGGGTTAGCGACGAATGATCGATGATGCTCTCGACGATTGGCATTGCTTTGAGGTCGAGTTTGATACGAGAACGAGATTGACACGGAATACATATGTCGAATGTGCGAAATCAAATGGGAATCATCGGCCAACCGTATTTTCATTTTACGCGTTCGATATGTAATTCGCCGTCAGAAGTGTCTTGTGACGAGATTGTCGCGCGATCGACATGCAACCGACGTAACTTCGACACGAGTTGCATCACAAGCATTAACAATCGTGCGCGGTGCTGATGATGTTTGGTTACACGGTGATTTGCAAGCAAATGATTAGTGGAGAATAATTGATGAGATATGCAAGCAATGGAAAAAAGAAACATTGAGAAAAAATAAATGATCGAAATTTTTGCGTTTTAACACATAATAAAGTTAGCTAATATAGATATAAAAATGATATATATTCTATATAAAATGTATATAGAATAAAAAGTTTTCCTCGATGCCTAATCTCGATTGGCAGAAATAATTACACTTGTTAGAATCATGTTGAGATAGATCAATTGACGCAGAGTTTGCGGATAGCTACGAATAAAATACTTTGTTGCAAATTGTTGAAGACTATTACATATATATACTCGAAGTATTTATTTTTAAATGTTACAAACTTTCGTGATTATATAATTGTTGACACTATATCGCAATGTTAGCGTAAAACAAAAACCAAACATTTCGCACGAAGTCAGCATTGCACATTGCACTCTTACGGCAATCGATCAGGTAACAATCTCAATAAATTCATCGAAAAATACAAATAGAATACAAACAAAAAATCAATAAGTAAAATAGAGAAAAAAAAACATTATAGTTTTGAAATTAGTCTTGCACGAGGAAGAACGTCCAAGAGAGAAGAAATCGAGATAGAAGAAGAACGGTGAGCGCGATTCGGGATCGTTCAGAAGTAGAAATATGACGCGTGTATAATAAATCGATCGTAGTCCGAGAGATGCAGTCTGTATAAATGGCTAAGCACTGACCTACTGTATAATTAATGGCCAAGCAACGCAAATCTCCTCCCGTACTGGACCATTAGGTGTTTGTTAAAGTTGAAACCTAAACCTGAAACCACACGTGCATCTGCGGTGCGTCGCGAGAGGCTCGAGTGTATAGATAAATGTAGATTGTTGATAGTAACGTAAGTATAAAAAAAAGATGTGTAATAGAGATAGGCTAAAAATACGATCGAACGAGAAAAATCGATCGTGGCCCGCGCGTTTTCAAGTTTTCTCGCATCGATGTATTTATTCGCATCGAATAGATCGTACCAAAAATAATTTCTTAATTTTTTATTATCTATATTTTATTGAGTTACATTTATAAATAAATATTAGAAGAGTACAAGTGTCTCGTAAAATTTAAAAGGTAAAACGTCCAATCAGATTTTTAGCTAATAAAAGATGGCCTCAAAAACTGATAATTAATCTCCTTATATTGTTATATAAATTTTTGAACACATTTTACATTACACGTATATATTTAGAAATCAAATTTGACACAAAATTTAATATGACTATTATATTATTATATTATTATTGATTTATTTAGAAAAAGCCACCTTATCATAAAAAGTAGACATAATTTTTTTCTCACTCTCTCTCTCTCTCTCTCTCTCTCTCTTGCAATAAAAAAGATCATTTATTTGTTGAACATCCGCACGATATGAATTATTCATAATGTGAGTATACTTTTACTCCCTTCGCTTTTTTATCTGTTGTATGTGTGTCATTGATTATTTTATCAGTCGGTGACACAGATAAGAGCGACAAATATCAATGCGAAGCGACACGAGGCGTCTCCGTAATTACGACGCGCAATGTCAATAGTTCGTGACTGTGGAAGGTATTCTGTATAAACGGTCGATTTGTCAGCTTGGAAGACGAGAGAAGGATACGAAGCGGAAAACTTGTAAACGGTAGGCGAATGCTTGACATTTACAAATTACTCAGAAATTCACGAACTGGAATTATTCAGCAGCCTGGAGAAGTCCTTCCACTAGCTTGATCATAATCTCGATACCAGCAATTAATAATCCCCGAGATTCCGATAATTATCCCTTCCTGCGACGCGACGGATTCGTCGTTATCATGCTCTTTTTCAGACGGTACGATAATATAATGAGTTTAATGCATTTCAAGAATATCGCGGAAATGACCTGAATTTGATATCGTCAAATCTCAATAATTTTTTTGCCATTAATTTATTTTAAATTAAATTTTAAGTAACAAAAACTGTCGAATGCATTTAATCTTAATGCAATTCTAAATGCATCAAGATTTATTTATTATTTACATTGATGTAAATTATAGAAGCAGAGTAGCTGAATATTGATGATAAAATTTCAATTAAACTTTTTTTAAAAACATTTATTCGCTTTTTAAGCTTCGTAGCAATAAAAATTACTACACAAATTTTATTATATATAATAATTTACTTTTTATAACCAAATAAATAACTCGACTAATGTAAAAAAATGATAAATGTGGAAATACATATTATTGATCATATCTTAAATTTCATTTTCTCTTTTATATTTCAATTGTATAAAAATATTATTTTAAATTTAATTTTATAATTTCTTTCACTTTGTTAAATAATTTCCGTTTTCTACAATTTATCTGTTAATTATTTGTCCTTTTATTTTTATTACCGAAAAGAATTGCAATCAATAAATGAAAAGAATAAATCCCTGAAAATGCAAACGGATTATACGCGAAGAGTCGATGAAAATGCAACGAATGAAACGATTATTACGAGGACTTTCGTTATTCGCGCGACTTTCATCCGAACAAAGTAATGAGAATCCGTCAGATGGAATCCCGAGGATTATAATTGCGCTGAAACTTCAGGCGAATCCATGTGACCCTCCGGAGTTAACTAACGGAAACTCGCTAGACAATGTAGCGGCAGGAACAATACGGCAAATAAATAGAGCCCTTCTATGCGTACGATATACTCTATAAATACATATATCTGTAAGTGCATATACATATATAAATATAAATATAGGTAACGCGAGAGATAAAGGCGGACAGCCGGCGCGTTCTGGCTGCCATATTGTTTGTACATGAACGACAAGTACGAATAAGACGACAAGTTATAATATGGTAATTCAATTAGGTGGCATTCGTCGATCTTAGGCGCGAATGTAATGTGTTGCGTCTTTTTTTGTGAGAGTCCTGCGTGCGAAATGCGAGAGTGCGTTTGTGCGCGATTTTATTTTCTGCGCTCTCTTCCCCAAATTATCGTTCAAACTATAACGTTAGTGATAAGAACGAACTACGAAAAAATTACATAAATGTGGTTATTGAAATTTTATTATTTCGTATTCTGCTTTCGTACCTCAACAGCTTTTTACTTCGAGACGTAAAATTAATTGAAAATTGTTGTATATATACAATACAGTACAGTTTATAAGCGTAACATTGAAATAGTTTGCATCAATTCTCAATTAATTTTAAGTCTGTGCTATTTGCAAATTTTCGATACACATGAAACAAGTAGAAATTAATATTTTCATATTTTAGATGTACAATAAAGTGAGGAATGCACTCAGACGTATAATAGTTCAACAGTTCTGAATTTTGTGCGATTTGTTGATTTTTAAATGATAACTTATTTTTTAACGAAACAGAAAATAAATATTCCGTTGAATAATGGTAATAGAAACTATATCAGTGAGGAAAAAGAGCGCAGGGTAGATTGTGCGTGCGCGACGTGGAAAAGCAATAATGTATAAAGTTTAGGAACCGCGGGCACATCGCTCAAAGAGACAGCAGATGTTAATGTCACGTTATACATACATGCACGTAGCAAGAATATATGTTGACTAGTTAAAAAGCGGCGAGGTTAATCGTTTCAGCGGCGACGAGATGGACTCTTCGGGAAAAATCGATCGAGAGAAATGAGAGAAATCTCTCGATCAATCTCGAAGACATGGACCAAATGCGAGAATCTCGCAAGAAGTGGATCAAGGTTGAAGGATCAAGATTGAGAAAGATTCTCTTTCAATCTGCAATGGGAAAATATGACGCGATAATATCAAACAAATGCACATATAGGCGTATCTCGAATTTGTGCCATAAATAATTGTTACATTGCAAATCACGTTAAATCATGTTAAATCCAATTGACATGCATGTCCAATTATAATGCATGTATAAAAAATTTAACAGAGGGATTCAATTCAATTTGTTTAATATGACACTTGATAGAAATGCAAATTACATACTTTGTTGTCTTGAATTATACCTTCGTTAATTTAATGCCTGTATTAATTCGATGTATTTAATAACGTGCTTTCATTAATTATTTTCCATAGAAATGTCATATATATCAATTAATTCCGCATATTTGCGTGATATCGCACATTTTAATTAATAATTCATGAAACGTGCATTCGAAATCATACTGGATTTGAAATAAATCTTCGCTCGGATATTGTACGATTGTTATTCTCAGAATTTTCTACATTCGACCTTGATCGACACGGGGTGTCTCGAAAATACGCCTGAGTAGAATATATGACTCTCGCGGACTCGACGGCGTTTGCTCGAAGGCGCTTGCTGCATCGGAATGTAAATATGTACTTGCGCAAAAAAAAAGAAAAAAAAAATAACGCCCCCGGCGATCGTAGAACGCCGATTATAGACGCACGA